ATACGTATCTAGCCCCACGCGCTTTCGTGGGCACGGCCCACTTCCTCAGATGAGAGCGGAGAAAAAAGGGGGAACCCCCCACTATAGAGCAGAAAAAAAGGGTGAGAAAAACATGCCTGTCACTTGCTGTGCTGGTGCTAACGAGGCTAATTGAGCGGGCTGGAACTATCCCGTCCTTAGCTTTGGATGTCAGCTGGGCGTGGGGGATCTTTGTTCAGGCCATGACAGATGGGGTCACATTTGCATGTGAAGGCCAGCTCCCCAGTTTCTCTGTGTCGCTGGCTTTTGAAATGCCTTTGTAGAAGAACGGCTACTTTTCACTCCCTGACCAAGTGCCCAGGCAGGTTACAATGGTCCCCGCCTGGTTTCTGTGTGTTACCATTCCTGGTATCCGACTGGTGTCCATTGAACACTGTACTATACAATATATATTATATGTACATTCTATTATATATACTATATATATCATTGTACAGTATTAGGAAATATACATAGGCTCAGATATTTAACGGCTGATCTTTGACTCCATTGTCCACATGACAATAAGAGCAGCCAGACTGGGTCAGATCAAAGGTCTATCCAGCCCAGTGTCCCGTCTGCTGATAGTGGCCAATGCCCCAGAGGGAGGGAACCGAACAGGGAATCCTCATGTGATCCCTCTCCTGGCATCCATTCCCAGACAAACAGAGGCCAGGGCTACCATTCCTACCCAGCCTGGCTAATAGCCATTGATGGACCTACCCTCTGTGAATCTATCTAGCTCTTTTTTGAACCCTGTTAAAGATCAAGTCTTCACAACATCCTCTGGCGAGGAGTTCCACAGGTTGACTGCGCTGAGACAAATATCTCTAGTCTTGAGCCCGATGCTGAGGCTGAGATAGGCTCTCCAGGGGAGCAGTGGCAAGTGGATTCAAGCCATTTCTTCACCGTAGACCCAAGCTGCCCTTCCCTAGAGCCACAATTTGTCTCGGGGTCATTAATGGCAGGGGCCGGCCAGACAGGTGAGACCTACAGTGAGGCATGGGGGAAACAGCCCCTTGCAAAGCTGTGGAAAGGAAGAGCAGGGGGCAGCGGGCTCTCGGACAGTAAAACGTCTCCCCCGTGGCACTGTGGATGTGTCCGTGAGGGCAGGACTGGTCTGCAGAGGCGTGTCTCTAGTGGTGACACGTGACCAGCTGTGAGCCGGGCGGTCTCTCCCACCGGGCGAAGGTTGCAGGCTGTTGGCTAGGAATAAACCCCCCTCTCCTTTCCTTAGACGCTGCGCACATTGAACCTGGCTTCCTTGGGACCCAGTCTACATGGAGCCTGACGCTGGGGTATTTATGCCGGGACAGGGCATCGCAGAAGGCTTCCCTTCTCATCCCCCACCCCCCAGAGACCCCTTCCTCAGCCCTGCAGACCTGTCCCAGCTGCTGTCTTCTCCTGCCCCCTGCTCCGGGCTGCCTGCAGCTTGGGCCTCTGGCTGAGCCACGTCACAGTTCAGCCCCCGCTGCTGGGGTCGCCCAGTCCATGCTGACACGCACCAAAGGTCCTTCAACCCTCCTGGCCGCCTCTGATTTCCGAGCGCCGGCGCCCCGGCTTTTCCCCATTGTGAGTCCAGCTACCGCCCCCGCGAGGCCACCACCTCCTCCTGGGGGAGCGCCCCTTCGCCAGCTGTTTGCCTTTCGGGAGTGGCCAGCTCGGGGCAGGCCCTGGTTCTGGTTCTCCAGCTGGACTCCTCCAGCTCTTCCCAGAGACGAGATCCCCTCGTTTTCCTCGTTCGGGCCTTCCCGTCATCAGCTCTGCTGTGGGAATCCTCTCCCGGCCTCCCCACCGCAGCGGGGGGCCACTTGCTCATTAAGCACCCGGCAGGGGTCGCTAATTAGCGCTTAGCTCATGGGGGAGGCTGAGGGATGGCGGCTAAGTCCTGGGTAAGGTTATGCCCAGAGGTGACACCAATAGGGCCAACCTGGCACAAACCTTTTCGAGTTTCTACTGGACAATTCTCCTCTCGCCCCCCTGGTGGGAGCCGTGTAGACACTTGGGTCGTACCAGGCTCCTGGGGCTCTCAGGCCCAGCTGCTGCGGTTGTGTTGACCAGGAGAACATGTCTCCAGGGACAATCAGGGGGAGATCTGAAAAGTGCACTAAGAAGTGCAGAAGCCCTGGCCGTGACAGGCCGGTAAGGACCGTGGTTTTCAACATGCGGGTCCCCACCAGCGTTCCCTGTAAGCTGAGCGCTGGGGCAGCCACCCAGGAAAGGTTCAACTGGCACCCAGATGATTAGAAGAGCACCCACAACATGTGTGTCTATGGGTGGTGCACACCCACACTTGCCTTGGTGCACATGACAAAATTGATTCCACACACGGGTGGAAAAACTTAAGAGGGAACATTGGTCTCAACCCAGTTCTGGGTCTCAGAACGTCAGGCACCAGGTTGTCTTGCTGGAGGGGGTCTAGCGAGGGTCTTAAGGCAGCTTCCTGCCAGCATGGCCCATGCCGCAGTCCGGAAAGGGTGGGCAGGAAGTTTGGCTCCGGGGTGGGGTGCCCACGGGGCTCCGAGCACAGCCCCCTTCTGCACTCCCATTGGCTCTCTTCTTACATGCCCTTCCTGGAAGCTGCGTGGAGCACAGGCCAGTCCAACGCAGCCCTGCGGGTTACATGGGCAAGGCCCCAGCTCTGATAACAGCCCATTGGCCATCGGACTTGGAAAAAATTGAGCCAGGGTGCCTGGTGCCTGCGTGAAATGGCAGCTTTGTCCTTTTCCAGTTGGGAGCTGTCTGTGTCCTATCCCCGCTCCACATCCCTGTCCCTGGGCCTCCGGGGGCCGCCCGGCCGAGGCTGCTCCATCCCCCGAAGACCGAACTCGCCCTCTCCCTAGAGAGGTCTCTGGGAGGCAGGGATGGTTCGGGCTGAAGCAGGGTTTGCTTGTACTGCCCCTCTGGTCTCTGGCAGTGCTGGGCAATCCAGGTCCCAGGGGCCAGGCCCCCCTGCTTCCCCTGCACATAAATCAATAGGCACCGGGCGCTTGGAAAAAAATCAAAGTTTTGCTTTATTGGGTGCGGGGAGACGACCGTGCTGCGCAGCCGCTCCACAGAGGACGTAAGACAGGTAAGTGCTGTTCAAACATCCCTTCCCACCCGCTCCTGCAGGACCGGGGCCACTCCGAACCTGGCTGGGGGCCCCGCGTGTGTCTTCTGGGGGGGGGGGGGCAGTAACCTTGCAGCGCCCCCTCCCTCGGCCGGGACAGAGCCGGGCTCTGCTGCCCAGGAGCGCTGCACCCAGGACAAGCTGGTCTCCTTCCCTAGGTGGGTGTAGCACATGGGTCTGAGGAGGGCAGCCCATGAAAGGGGCGATTCCCTGCAGGGTGCTGGGCCGGCCTCCCCACCCTGCCAGGCCCAGCCGGGTTTAAGGCACTGCGTGAAGAAGGCCGCGCCAGGCCGCTAGTAGCGTGGAAGGAGCACCAAGGGTTAACGCTCGCTGCACCCAGTTCCCGTGCCCTGCCCTTGGGGCGTGCTGATGGGGCTGCCCTACTCTGAGCGGGGACCTGGCTCTGCTTTGAGCTGGGCCCCCACCCCAGGCACAGCTGGAGGAGCCAGCGTGCCAACAGGTTGAAAAACCCAACCTAAGGCCTGTAGTAGATCAATGGCAGGAGACAGAAGCGCTATTGCTAGCCTGGAAGATTCTCGTTGTACTATAAAACCTCAGACACAGGGTGAAAACTGGGCTGGGCAAACACTGGCATTTAAGACATGTATAAAAAAAATCCCTCGCCCCTGTAAAAAAATATGTATATTTCTCAGTGCATGGACTGCAGCCCGCTCCGCCCCTCTCCACTGGAGGGCGCTCTGCTGGGCAGAGGGAAGGTGCAGGCTGGTTTGGATCGACGCGAGGACTTGAGCCCCCCGTCTCTCCGCTGCCCTTGGAGGGGATATGGGGCCAGAGCTGCTCACCGGGGGCTGAACAGCAGTGAGGACAGATCTGTCCCACGCTTGGCCTCTTGCAGCCCCGGGGAACGCAACTCACCCAGCTAACGCTGCTCGCCAGGCCGGGGCGGGAGAGGCTGGCAGCTTGTGTCACGGCGAGAGCCGGAGCCTAGAACCCCCGTTCTCCTCCACGAGGACGTGAATTCACTTCTCGGGGCAGAGGGTCCTCTCCCTGCTCAGCCCCTTTACCTTGGCAAACTGTTCTGGGCTCGGGTCATTACGAGCCCCGTTAATGTCTCCAATGCGGGGGGCTGAGCGCCCCCCAACCCTTCACTCTCCCCCAGCACCTGCCAGCTGCTAAGAATTTAAATCCTGACTCTGCACCACCAGGCCCCTGGATTTGTCACTTGCCAGAGGCTCGGGGCTCAGTAGCAGGGCCACGAACA